GGTAAATGAGCTATAAGAGGTATCTATCAAGTACATAGTGCATCAAAATGATGCTGAATGGAGAGGAGAGGTATATATATTTGGTTTATGTATGTTGATGTAGGTGGGAGGGAGGAACAGGGGACGAACACACGAGGACGCGGATACTGGGATGTAGAGAAGTTGATAGAAGATGTAGGGATATGATGTGTGGTCACAATATCAGTATACACTAACATGATAAAGAGACGGGCACAATACACGAACGGCCACACAAACGCAGGACGCACAACGATAAGATAGATGCAGCACATATAAAGAGATAAGAGCATAACATATATATAGCGTATATATAAATACGATCTAGACAGCAATAACAATAGGAGTGCACACACATGACATGATGCATGTGGATAATATTTAGGGCGATAATGTGCAGGGAGAGCAGGTCTAGAGAGTAAGCTCAGTGGATTAGAGAAACTTTGGTAACACCCGTATAGGCACGAGGACCTGGATCTAGAAGGACAGCATAGATTTGCTAGAGACTGGCAAGTGTGCTGCATCTACGGTGGCGAAGAAAATAGGACAGCGAGAGAGAGTACGTGGGTGACAGAAGCACGAACTCAGACTGCGCACGAAAGGACATGAGAGATCGCTGAGTAAACATGAAATTGTAAGTATCTTCCAAGTCGACCATTGCTGAAAAGAAACACGTGTAGTTGGGCTCGTGAAAGACGAGGGATGAATCCACACGGATGATACTCGTTGATGTTGAAGAAGTTTGTGTGCTTGTTCATAAGAAATTATCATATTGAATTTGGAACAGAATAAGTGCATATCAGTCTATGACGATGAATACCTTGCAGATTCTTCTTGGCCAGTGTTTTGCCTGCGTGCTGCCTGCCGCCCCTCAGGGATACTGAAGCCCTGAACGTTCTCACGCTCTGACTCCGACGAAGTTGCCGCATAAACGCTGAGGGACGACCGTTCGTGATCGATGACAGACGAGAGGTACTGAGAGCGAACTGTACGACGTGGAAAGAGGGAGGAAGCGATCTGTGGTGTCCGAGTGTGAGTGTAGCCAGCGGACCGCGAAATGGGAAGGCGGAGGACTTGAACACGAGCGGCCGATGTCGTTACTCGTGGGGAGGTGAAGAAAAACGAGAAAACAAAACAAAGACATCTATAGAAAGTGAGACAATAGCGGGGCGGTTACCCAAATCGTAAACAAAAACAATGGAAGAGGAAATTACGAAGTCAGATGATATAACAAACAAACCACTTATATGACTCTTCATTAGCATACAGGAAAAAAACAGACCCATAGACAGGCAACATAAAAAAAAACCCAATGAAA